TATGCTGTTTGTGAATAAACTTTCATAGTTAACTTATTGAAAAAATGTTTATCTCCTTTTCTCTCAGTTTTGGAAATATGCTTGTTATGTAATATGTGTAGCCACTGCACATTTTTGTAAAATTCCTTGACAATTTTCGTTCCTATGCTTTCATTGTACCACAAGGGCAGACAGGTATCTGAATATATATATATTTTTTGAATGAAATCCTATTCGCATGTCAGCTCTTGATGGCAGGGAAAAAGTTATTTAAGAAGTGACTTCTCGTAATTCTAAACTTCCGCTTTTTTATACCATAAGAGTTCAGAAAGAGAAAAGAAAGACAAAAAGTTCGTCGTCGTCTGTCTTTTCGTCCTCCATAAATCGTGAAATTAATTTCACTTCGGCGAAGTCGTGCATTGACGGCAAAGAAATGTACAAAAAAGTGTAATGTAAGTACAAAGTTGCTTTTCTGGCTTCCTCGTTGCCGTCGTCGAAACATAGAGCGGCGGTGTTTTGTCTCAAATGGAAACGCGGATGAGCTGGTATATATCGGGAAGGATGCTAAACTTCTTGAAAGTATGATATTACATTTCCACTTTATAATCAACTTATAAGAAGAAGCCCAGAGTTCTTACTTACCTAGACTTCTGTCCTAAGGCAGGAGCCCATTCGAGAAAGTGTTACGAAAGAACTCGAATGATTTATGGACTTGAATCAATTACAGAAAATTTAAAACCAGGACGGTAATAAGACACCTCTATTCAATTTATTTTGGAGTCTATTGGCAGAGAAATTGGGGGAGCTAGATATTTGTTAACATTATACGGCTATCTATTACCAATCGACAAATCTTCAGTTTTCTTTCATTTTATTCACTAAAATTTTATTCTAAAACTTATTCAATAAAAGTATAAATACATGCAAGAATATCATCAAAAGATTTCAAGTGGCGAAATCATGAGCAATGTGGGCGCTATCCTACAATAAAAGACCTAAACTATTTTGAGCTGTTGCGGTATAGTTCCTATAAAAGTTTTATGACTCAGAGCAGAAAAAGTGATAAGAAATTTTAAGCTAATGTTTTCCTATTAAAATACTTATTCACTGTAAAGCAATGGAAACCGCGGTACAACGTTTTTAAGCTGCTTGTAGTAGTTTGTTTAAGATTGAATGAACGTCAATAGTCCTAAATCGAAGCTTCACAGGGCAATATTATACAGTAATTGATATTCAACCCCTCCTCTTGTTCCTTTTGTTCGATGCCATGATGGTGGATTCATCAGTTACCTCCCCTTATAGATCTTTGTTGATTACCACCCCCCCTTCCCCGAAGTAGAGAGACACCAACAAAAAGTTTTATAAGTTTGGGTAAAACTTTTCTCCGAGTATCAGCTCGCATATGAAAACTTGCACAAACCTGAATCTTAACAACGCGCCTGTTCTTTCTTGCGCCCACTACTTCCAAGCACCTGCCACGTAGGCTAGGACTTTATCTATTCATCCGACAAGAACTTTAATTAGCTTCGTGGGGGTGCAGATTGCTAATTGAGTCTTTTTGAAACAAATTGAAAACAATATCGTTTATAAAATATATATTAACAATTTACGATTAACTTCAAGAAGAAGGCTAATGCTCCTCACCAAGATGTCCTAATTGTAAGGATATTTCGAGAAGTTCTTTTTTTTTAATCATCGAGAACGTTAAATTGAAATACATGTTGACCTAAAAAGGCTAATTTATCATCAAACGGCAAAGTCTTGATAATTTATTCATGAACTATCTCAGAGGAACTTTTTAAATGATGTTAGAGTCACTAATTTCTTTCCAGAAGATTTTGAACTGCAGTCGGCAATGTGAACTTCCAGCACACTCATCTCGATCTAATTTTAACTAATGAGCCCTGTAAAGGAATAATATATTCTGGAGTTCTACTAAACAGTTATGGAATAAAGCTGAGTAAGATATGAAGAATTATACTGATGAAAGCAGATGTTATCCACCTCAGCAGGCAGCCTCCAAGACCTGCATGATTCTTATTTTTATTCTTTCATATGGAAAATTTACCAAACCCACCTAAAGCCACAAATATGTAATTATTAGCTAGATGAATTTTAGCGGATAAATCTTCGTAATAATCAACCAGACTTCTTGGAAATAGCGAAAATAGTTTTTTTTCCTATAACGGATACTTTTCAACACTTTTGTTTTACTTTTGTTTTTCTCTCCAATGATTTTTTTCTTAGTACCAATGGAATGAACCAAAATCAAGAGAGAGAATACAGCAGAATTCATTTTAACAGACTCATGTATTCAAAAATAAAGATTGCCGTGTAAGAAATCTTAAGCGTTGTTATTTATCGACCTTAACTCAGAAAAAAGTTAGATTACCAAAGTGATTTGAAAGTACATTTCACCATATACCAAGACCGGCTACATCTTCTGAGAACACAAAAAAAATGTCAAATATATCTAAGGGTGCTCATTCATGAAAATCTCTCGTGGAAATACCATATCGCAAATAGGTAAACATTTTGGCGTTATTGCTATATTAAAATTATCCACATTCTGTACCACTCTATACTCTACCACATATAAAGGGCGCCTGTCGAGCCATATTTATTATAATTGGCATGAAATTCTTTTTCTCCAATAACGCATGCCGTCAATGCACATCGCAGTCCGGCAGATCTCACTCAATACCTTTTTTATTAGTACCTTGGTAGATCCATCCTCGAGGCGGGACCGGTACTCAGAGTCTTGGAATAACTGAGTGAGGACCATTGTGTGTTTTTGTATGTCATGTAAAAGGCCAGACCATCTTGGGCTCGGATGAACACGTAAAGTAGCGGTCCCGTCTTTACTGACAGGAGACATGAAAATCGAGTGTTCTCAGTAAGTACTTTCGTGCTAAACATTTACAATCAAATGAAGAGTTTTTTCTGTTCTTTTTTTTTTTATGCGTCTCTTCTAATTTTTCTTTCATTCGATGGCTCTAAAATTTTAACACCTCTTTTCTAATATATTTTCTCCTCAGCTTAATATTCGTCACTTCCAAAACAAGATAGGCTTCAAGTCAGGACTATTTTTCTTGTTGCAAGTTGCTGAAGGCCGAAAGAAGGTCTTTGTTTCACAAAACTGAGTTGTTAAAATTTGCAATAGTTTACCTTCCAAATTGATTTTTAATATCATTTTACTCCAGATTTACTCCAGGTGTTTTATGCTGAATACTTTCAGAGGAAAATGATGTATTGTTTTGCCCAGTTTGAACTGAAAAAGTAGCTAAAAATTCGGATTCTTCGTAGTTTTTTTTTTATATACATGCTCTCTGAAGCTTTATCTCATTAAATTTATTTTATGCTGTTTGTAAAAAAAATGTAGTTAACTTATTAAATATTTTTTCTCCTTTTCCCTCAGTTTTCTTTTTCATATAACTCTCTCGGTTTTGGAAATATGCTTGTTATATAACTCGGTGTGTGGCCACTGCTCGCATTTAACTGCGGCTGGTGAAGACCTTTTAGTAATAAAAACTCCTTGAAAATTTTCGTTCCTATACTTTTATTGCACCATAAGGGAAGACAGGTATTCAATTTTTTATATATACATTAATGTCAACTTCTCACAGCAGCAAAAGAGTTTTTAAAGAAGTGACTTCGCTTCATTATAAACTTCAGCGCTATTATTACCAAATCCCTTTCCTTGTCAAATTTTGGCGATCTCTCCTGTCGTTGAATTCCTAACAACCATTTCCACGTTCAGAAAACGAAAAGAAAATTCGTCGTCGTTTGCCTTAGCACCCTCCATAAAACGTGAAATTAGACAGTTTTACTTCGAATTCGTGCATTGACGGCAAAGAAATGTACTAAAAGTGTAATGCAAGTGTAGAGTAGCTTTTGTGGCCGGTTCTCCTTGCCATCATCCAACATTGGGCGGTGTTTCGTCTCTTGGAAACGCGTATTAGCTCCGATTGGGCAGTTTCCTAAGCTTCCTCAAAAAATATATATTTCCACTTTATGATTAACTGGAGAAGCCTAGAGTTACTTACCTTAACTTCTGTCCATAGGCAGAAGCCCATTCGAGAAGGTGTCTTCTATTACGTCACTAAAGAACTCGAAGGATTTAATAGAATTGCTTCAACTACAGAAAATTAAAACTAGTCCGTAATATAAGACACCTCAATTTTGGACTCTATTAGCACAAAAAAGGGCGGAGCGAGATATTTGTGAACATTATACCGGTTCTATATTACCAATCGACAAATATTCGGTTTTCATGTAGTTTATTCACTGAAATTTTACTCTAAGACTATTTAATAAAAGTGTGAATACATGCAAGAAGATCATCAAAATATTTCGAGTTGCTAAGTTTTGAGCAATGTGCGTTATCCTATTATAGAGCGTTGTAATTCACTTACGTGGCCAGCATATATGCAAATTTATTGGAACAAAAGAAATCGTTTACATAAGAAAAGAGTTCCCCTCCCACAGGACTGGTTTGGAACACCAAAATGGCTACCGTGACGTCATGTGAAAACACTCTTTTATGGACCTAAAATATTTGAGCTTTTGTGGTATGGTTCCCATGAAGTTTTTATGATTCAGAGCAGACAGATTGGTTTTCTATTGAAATAGTCATTCACTTTAAAGCAATGGAAGCCCCTGGCTGGTAAAAGGTTTTTAAGCAGCTTGTTTAGTGTTTGTGTAACGTAAAGATATTTAAAAACACGTTTACGTCAAACTTAAATGTGTACCACGTGACCAAATGTTCCGGGCGGGGGTGGGCAGGGGTATTTTAGAATTTTTTTGCGACCAAAGTCGTGGCCCTCCCACTTCCTAGTATGGATTAATGCATGATCCTTGAGAAATACCTAAACAAAAACATCTAACCCTCCCCCCTACCTGTCCAAGACAAAAATGACCGGAACTGAAAATAACAAACTGGAACTGTTACATCTGTTACGTTCATCTGCGCACAAAGTAGTTAATTGCGTGGCGTGTGATTGTACGGTGAAAACTTGAAAATGGCCAAGGATGTACGAGGAATAGAAAGAGGGAAAAGTGCTTGTGGTGAATGCGAGGATTTCATGAGGTCAGATGGAGCAACTTGTGGCTATTGCGGCTGTTTTCCGACTCGCCATTCTAAAAAGGATGCTCGCTACTCCTCTGACTCTGTTTTTGGTACATCGGCTGCGGGAATAAGTGAAAGCGCAAGTCCAGAGAAGTGGAAAGATGAAGACCTAGGGTCCATCCCGAAGTTGTCGGTTCGAGCCCGAGTAGCTTAAGTGAAGAATCCTCACCGGAGACTGATTTTATACCAGAACCCCGCGCGGAAACATCAAAATATGGGCGAAAGCGGACACGGGTCAAGAGAGACAATTATGTTAGTTGGGAGAAGATAGTTTTTTGATATATAAATTTTTCGACACCTGTAAATAATTTAGATTAATCTTGACTGGTAGCTTTGGTTGTATATACAAAATAGAAGCGACATGGAGTAATTTGTTCCTTGCCAAAAAAACTGTGACCCTCTCCCGGTTGAGAATAAAACAGGTTTGACCCTCCCCAATTTGTAAAAAATTCACTAAGGACTCTCCCCTCCGAAGCCCCGGCCCACCCCCACCAATAAAAAACGTACCTTAACTAATCTATTTTAATGCTGGGGGCCTTCAATCAACTTTTTACGAGGGTTATTGCAAATTAAAAGTGTAGCCTGTTTTAGAGTCTGAAAACTACAGCTACACTTGTAAACTACCTTAATTTGTTTTAAATTGATCACTGGTTTCATGGATAAGAATGTTAAAAAAGTGTTTATTTACACATTTTCCAAGTGCTAACATGAAAACTTGTCATATTCTTGCAGATGTAGTTGTAAATCTAATAACGAGCATAATTTTTAGCCCGCTTACAATTCAATTATTGGAGAAGACTATAACCTTTTATCTAACAAAGACTTTTGCTGAAATAATGAAACACTTGAATTAATAACATGACAAGACGAAAAGGTTGATGCCAACGACTGAGAGCGGAAGGTCCTTGGGTTCGATTCCTGGGCCAAGCAGTACTCAGGGTCTTAAAATAAATGAGAAATGAAGGCACTTCCTTTGCCCCGCGAACGGCTAGACCTTCGAGTTGCTCGAATGACCACATAAAATGGCGGTCCCGTGTTCAGCAGGAGACGTACAAATCAGCGCCGTAGCTAGTATGAGGCCAACCGAGGCACTCGCCTCGGTAAAATTTTGACGAATTTCGCCGATCATTTTTATTTTACATAAGCGATCATCGGATATTTTTAACGCATCATGATATTACAAAGAATTCAGCAATTCAGTCAATATACTATGAAAAAATTACCATATCATCGATCTCAAGGGACTACGTACGTCAACTCAAATTTTTTTTGAACAAATACTGATCAAAACCATTGGCGAGGTTAACGGTCACCCAGATTATGTAGCTTGTTTCTGATTATTGCTTTTTAAATTCCACTTAAATTAACTCGAAAAAAAGTTACCGAAAGGCCTAGAAAACGCTGCAAATCGCATTTCCGAGAGACTAAAGTTCAAAATTTCTCGGGGGGGCATGCCCCTGAACCCCCCTAGCAACTCTCACCTGCCTCGGTTGGCCGTTTGGTCAGGCTACGGCACTGCAAATAGTGGGCTGCAGTGGTCTATCTATTTAATATTTATTTTCGCCTCACAAAATTTAGAAAGAAAGAAAGAAAAAAATACACTGACAGAACGAAAGTGGCGAGGAAGCCTTAAAATAGAAACCACAGGGCTTATCAGACGTAAGGCTTCGTCAATTAACAACTCATGATGGCTACACATGCACAACTATGACAATTAATTCCAAAAAAGAACGGATTAAGATACAGTAAATGAGTAACAATAATCAGTGTGTAAATTAATAAATACTAATATTACGGCAAACAGTATATTACAAACAACAAATATTGCAATTGGAGGACGTACAGGTAAACTTCAATGATAATGAAACTATTCAATTCTTCTTGGCTAATAGCTGTTTTAACATATGTTATTAAAAGAACATATGCTTTTTGAGACTGATCAATTACTAATTCACAGTGCTAATTACATTGACACTGAAATAAGGTGCACTTTTGGAAACAGGTGACTGGAGGCAGCCGTGAAATCCAAAATCTGCGTTATCAAACTCCTTCTACACTCTTAAAACTAAGTACAATTGTTCATTTTCCGCTTTAGTTAAAGTTAAAGTAACAATCCGTTTTTAATTTACTTTAGTTTCAGCCTACAGTAAACATAGTCTTTGTCCTCCTTGGCCCATATCCACTTAGCCGTCTCTGATATGCCATCTATTGTGTACCAGGGTTTGTCCCCATTGATTCCAACAACTTTTGCCAAAGGCCAGTCCTGGTCATCAAAATCCGGGGAATTCCATCCGACATGCAGGTCGCTGCTGCATTTCCAGGTTCCGTCAGTTACCAGTCCGTGGCTAGTGGAGCCAATTATTCCAAAGAACTTTCCTGAAGTTTTTCTCCCG